GAGCGAAAATAGATGGAGCAGACAAAGGGGGGAAGAAAGCTTTGTTCTCCCCCATTTTCACGGATGGGGAACAGTGGCAACAACTCCCATGGGACAGGCAGAAAATGAGTGCCTGAACCCTATATGGAACGACCACCTCTTTAAAAATATCCCTCTTTTTTTTTTTTTTGAGGGGAGGATCCGACATCTGGAATTTTACTCCTGCAAAAGGGAGGGTTTACTTTCACCTTCTCCCCCCCCATCTCTGCATCTCGCACCCCACCAACCTTCAGGGACATTAAAATATGTGAGAAAGTGCAAATCCTAAATTAGCTCAATATTCACATGTTCCTTAATTATTGATGAAACTCTTGGCTCCCAAGGGAAGTTTTTGCAGAGAGAGCTGGGGGTTCCCAGCAGAAGATTCCCTCAGTGCTGTAGTTCCCAACTCTGCCCACTGCCTATCCTCCTTGATTCCACGAGGTTTTCCCCAGGGATTGCTACCTGGACCATTTATTTTCTAGGTAATAAAACCCCAGAGCTTTCGTGTTATACAAAAAAAAAATGCAGAAAAGCTCCCCCCCAAACCCTTGAAATGCTAAATTTTTCAGCACTGTGCTGAATAGTTCTGCTCTTACTACTTTTAAAATGCAGTTTAAAGGTTACAAAAATATATATTTTAATGCCTTTGGGTTAAAAGGAACTAGGAAGAGTTTCCTTCTTACACCTTTAAATTTATGAAGATGGATTAAGATAAGAAAAAATGTATTTGCGTGATTCAGAAGCAGATTTTGACTTGCTGAGAAACGAAGCTTCAATTTGTTTTACAATATTCTCACTTCTGCCACCACATATTATGTATTTGTATTGCATTTCCCAGTCCCACATCACTAAAAGTTTGCTGATCCAAGACAAAATTGGTCTATCCCTGGATGGAACAGGTACAGTAACAAAACCTTGGTTGTTGTCCCAAGTTCTCTGAGCTCAGATCCTTCCTGGGGATTCCTGCTCAGGAACAAGGGGGAATCAGGCAAAGGATGGCTTTGGATGCCCACAATCCTCACCCCATATCCAATAGGATACACTATTCCCAGATCTTTTTTTCCAGCCAGGTGTGATGCTGGGCAGTGTTTCCAACAGATTTTGTTTCCCTCTCTCTTCTTCTTGGAGCTTCCTTCCTTCCCTCAGTATTGGCAGGTTTAGAGGTTTTGTGACGTAACTTGCGCTTTTGAAGGTGGATGCTGCAACAACTTCAGTCTCGTGTGTTTAAACAGGAGAAAATTGGTTAATTGCGCTGATGAATGCAGCTAATTGTCCTTGCTGAGAGCCGAGGAGCTGGAGGCAGAGAGCACCAGGGCAGCTGAAAGAACTGCAGCCACGGACATGATGCTGAGCTATCCCCAAACACTCCACAGAGCCACAGAATGGTTTAGGATGGAAAACCTCTCAGAGATCATCGAGTCCAACCATTCCCCAGCACTGCCAAGGCCACCTCTGACCCATGTCTCCAAGTGCCACATCCACATGGCTTTGAAATCCCTTCAGGGATGGGGACTCCTCCACTGCCCTGGAAGCCCCTTCCAATGCCTGACCACCCTTCCCATGGAGAAATTCCTCCTGAGGTCCAACCTGAACGTTTCCAGGTACAACTTGTGCCAATTCCCTTTCATCCTGTTCCCTGGCAGTTGTCCCCTCCTGTCAGGGAGTTCTGCAGAGCCACAGGGTCCCCCCTGAGCCTCTTTTTCTCCAGGCTGAGCCCCATTCTCAGCTCTCCACAGGGTCCCCCCTGAGCCTCCTTTTCTCCAGGCTGAGCCCCATTCCCAGCTCTCTCAGCCCCTCCTGGTGGTCCAGCCCCTTCCCCAGCTCTGTTCCCTTCCCTGGACATGCTCCAGCCCCTTCAGTTCACACAAGTCACAAAGCAGCTGCATCCCAATGGACTCAAATTCACTTAAACAGAAGTACAGGTGGTTCTGAAATCTTTAATGGTGTCTTGCATTTATGCTTTAAAAAACCCTGGTTGTTACCAAGGGGCACTTGGGGACATGGGTCAGTGGTGGCCTTGGCAGTGCTGAGGGAATGGTTCGACTCGATGGTCTTAGAGGGGTTTTCCAACCTTAATGATTCCTTGATTCTACAGTTCTGCCTCTGCTTTACACTGGCTGTGTGTGAAGCATCAGAGCTGGAACATTTTGGGAGGAAATTCAAGGAATTCTGTCTTTACCACATGTCTGGGCTGTCACTTGAGGTGCGCCGGTGCCACCTCCCATCTCTGGCTCCAAGGAAAGCTCCACCGTCAGACAAAACTCCAAAAGCCCATGAAGTTCATGCATATTTGGGTCCGACAATGGTACCAGGACTATTTTTCCATGGTCTCTACTTCCCAAGGTAGTTTGGTGCCTGCAGGTGCTAACAAGCACGATTCAACCTCCATTATTGCTGCTCTAACATTGCACTTGCCAATCACGTCCTTGGCCGTGGATCCTGCAGTGAATTCCGAGCCTCAAAGCCAAGAACAGCCCTATTCCTGCAAAGAATAGAAGAGCTCAGGAGAAACCAGTGTTGGAATGTTCCCAAAGCAAAAAGGAAAATTTCCTTCAGTCATTGCTGCCCCGGGGTTACCAAAACTGAAAACATTTTAATATCTGTGCTGGAAGTGCCTCATTCCCTGTTGTGGAGTGACAGAAGAGCGGGGAGTCTCATTTTCCTTGGTGTCCAGGTAATTTCACTGGGAGCCACCTCATTCTGTGAGCACAATGGATGAATTTATAACAAAAGGCCTTGGAGTTTGAAAGTCTGATTTTCGCGGAAATGAAACCAAGTCGTTCTTTTGTGCTCACATTCTGCTAATTCCACCATCTGGGCACTGACGTAATTCTTTTTCTTGTGCTTTCTAAAAAAGGCCTTCTTGCCAAACCCAGAGTTGGGTTGAAACAGAACTCAAAACCCACTAGAAGCAAACAAACAAAAAATATATATGTAATTTATTACTCTGAGACATGTTTCTCCTGTTCCAATCATCCATTTCACTGGACAGTATCTGGTAAGAAGAGCTTTTCACTGAGTAACGTTGACCACAAACACAGAGCAGAACAGTTAAATCAATTGTTTCTGTCAAATACAAGCAATTTATGATTTATGATTATTTATTTATTATGATTTCCCCCTCCTACAACCACATGCTGAGCTTGGGGCACATTAAAATTCCACATTTCCCAGGATAAAGTGCTGTGTATTTATTGCAGAAACAGAGAATCTTCCATTGGTAGCTGATACTTCATCTGAGCCAGGTTTAAGTCTTGGGTATCCTGAGTTTAACAGGAGCAACAGCACAAATTTAAAAGTTTATTCCTGGTTTTATTCTTCCTGTAACTGACACTGGAATGTGGCCAAGCACCCACAAGAATGAGCACACAGAAACACATGAAAATTCACAGAGGGAACAAACAAACAAGCCCAGCAGTATTTGGAGAAGGAAACCTTATTCCTTGACTAGCACCTTTTTAAACTGAAATCCCAGAGAGGCTGTAAAGTTCAGTTGGCTTAAGAGTTAAAAAATAATCATTGGAAACAATCAGGCTTTTGGATTCTAATAACAAAAATTCCAACTTGTGGTGAGCAAGAAATCAGGAGGGATGCTTCAGTTTAACATAAAACATTATTTTGCTGTCTTCTATCACTGAGAAGATGATTTTTTCACCTCAAGCATGGAGTTTCCTCCCAGTTTGACAATAACTGATGGTATTTGGTGGTATTTCATTTAAGGAAGCCAGGGACAAGCAGATTATGGTGAATAATAATTGTACAGCCTGAACAGGAGATGCAACAAGGGTTAAAACCCCTGGCATGTGAAATCCAGGGAAAGGCATCTTGTTCTCCTGTGTAAGAAGTGAAACTTCATTTTGCTGCAGTGAATGAGCATGTCCTGAAGGCAGGGGAAAAAAAGGTGCTTTGGAAACCAAGAGATCTTTAAAAAAGGAGTTGAGCTGCAACCAAACCATCCATGTGGTCTGGGTGCTGCAGATGGAGCTTCCTCCACTGCACAATAAAGGCAGCTTAAGGAAATTTTTTTCCCAATTAACATCTGTATCTTGACAATGTTCCTCAGACCGTGTTAAGCAACTCTGCTGAGCTGAGACAATATAAAAATGTACCCATTTTCTCCAGCAGAGCGGCCAATGGGATGTTTTAGATTTACACTGATGAAACCCAGCCAGGCCTGGATGAAATGAGCAGTTCATGGATTTGGATTCTGGATTCTGCCAGGATAACTGGCTGGTGTTCAGGGTTGTGCTGTCAGTTTGCTGTGGTCAAAGAAATATCAGAACAGGACACCAGGAAAGTGAATCCTTCTTCCCATTCCACCACTTCCAAGCTCACCCATCTCTCATGACAGCTCTAAATGACATTAAAATGCCAAAATTCATGCTGAATGTTTCAGATCTCCCACAAAACTGTTTGTGGCAGTGCCCAGTTCCAGCATTCCTTATTTCCAGGCTTACAATGAGAAACAAGCTCTAGTTTGGTTATAAATCCAAACTGCAAGTTTTCAGTGTGTGAATGGCAACAGCAATCTGACTGTGCTTTTAAAATCAATTGGTCTCCCAATTTCAGGAAAAAACCTTGCTCCATCCAAGGCAGCTTTCTGGATTCCATAAGTACCAGTGAAGAGATCCTGAGTAGTGCCTGGAAATCAAAGATTTAGGTATGGTTAATAAATGATAAGGTAAATACACATTTCCTTTAGCTTTGGTGCAAAGTTACAGCTGTTTGACAATGGTTTGGAGGCACAGGGAGGTCTTTTTTATTTCACCCTTAAGTGCTGACACTCACGAGCAAACTTTTAATCAGAGTAAGCATTTTGGGAAGAAACAACAATCACTTTATATGTAAAAAGAGATGAATGTAAAAATTAGACACCACTTTGCAAAAATCAATGAAAAAACACAAACAGCTTTGCAAACTCCCTCCTGCTTCCAGAAGCAGAGCTGGGCTCTCACAAGTGAAAACAATTTTAATAAAAAGGCAGTACTAGGGTGATTTTTATTTTTTTTTTTCCTGGATTGAGAAAAACACAGTCAGGTGAAGCAGCAGAAAGTCATCCCCTGCCTTTCACAGTCTTGATGTGTTGATCCTCCACGTGGATCCCTTTTGAAAGTGGCACTGAAGCTCCTGTTGGCCCGTCACCACGTTTTCCCTTGGGAGAGCTGGGTTTAGATAAGAGTCTGAGTTTAGATCCAGCCTGTGTTTAGATCCAGCCTGTGTTTAGATCCAGTCTGAGTTTAGATCCAGCCTGTGTTTAGATCCAGCTTGTGTTCAGATCCAGTCAGCCCCAGCTGGAGCAGGAGCAGTGTCCAAGCCTGGACTGGTGCTGTGTTTACACAGAGCCTCCTCTAACACAGACTCACCCCTGAGCCTGAAAGGGTTAAAAGTTCTTGCAGTGCTTCTTTTTCTTTCTGGGTGCTCCTTCCCCACACTCCCCTGTCTCCTCTTTTTGCTTTTTGTGCTTCTTGTGGCGTTTCTTCTGCTTTTCCTCCTGCTCCTCTGCGCTGAGCTCTTCCCCCTCACACATTCCCACAGAAGTTTCTCCACTGCCCGTATTTTCATCACAACTGATGTTTTCTCCTTTGTTTTCCTCTTTATGTTTCCTCTTTTTTTTCCTTTTGTGACATTCATTTAGTGGATCATCCAGTTCTTTTCCATTCAAGCTCCCTGTCTTAGCCTTTTTCCATGGTTTCTCACAGTCCTCTGTCCTTTCTGCCTCATCATCTTTCTTGTGCTTCTTCTTTTTCTTTTTGACTTTGGTTTCCAGCTCTTCTGAAGGCTCCACAGCTTCTTCAGCAGTTGGGCTGGAATGATCCACCTTTGGTTCTGTTTCCTGCTGGGATCCCTTCAGCTTTGCCATGCGCTTGGCAAAATATTCCTGGACAGTGAGAGCACTCTTCACTGTATTGGAGCCATCTCCAGGGTTGGAGAGACAGTTGCTCCTTTCCTTCTCTTCCTGGGAGTCAGGATCAGCAATATCCTCCTGCAAGGGAACAGAGAGGAGCAGGAGTGAGTCAGGAGTCATGGCTTTAAACACAATGCTGGTTTTTTGCACAGTAATAAGGAAAATACTGAAAAGCAATGTTGAGCTTTGAAAATTAATTGTGAAAGTACAGATTTGGGTGGAACTGAGGCAGCCCTTAATGTGAAAGATGCTGTAGGTTTAGGGAAAAGAGGTGGAAGGAGGGAAGGCAGCAAGAGAACACAAACCAAGACAATTTTCAGTTGTTTTGAGTTCCTTAGTTTACCTACTCCTACATAACTCATGTCTACCACTGCCATACTTAGTACATTACACTGATTTTACAAAGCACATGTCTCTGCAAGACAAAAACCAGCATGAAAAATGATCCACTGCAATCCATTAGCCTGTGGCACAAAGGAAATCCCATGCCTGGAATAACTCTTCAGCAAAGAACTTGTAATCCAGGGAGCAATCCAGCACTGAGGCATCTCTTCCATCTTATCTGATCTTTGGAAATGTTTGTTTCAGAGCTGCTCTGCTGTCAGGGTGTCCCAGATGTTGTTATTTAAACAGGCTCCATTTGATCACACGTTATCAGATGGCACAAACAACATCACAGGTTACATCTTACAAGGTTTCTGCAGACATGAAATAAAGAGCTGCTCATCTCCAGCTGCAGGTGAAGAGTCTCCTTTCTAGAAAGGAAATATCAAACTAAAAGCAAAGTACAGCTCTGGAGCAGGATGTTATGGATGGCATGAAGAGAATTGACTGAGAAAGCAACAAATGCCACAAGATGGAAATGTATAATTTGTTAAATTATCTGACATTTACAAAAGAAACAAACCAAAAAGGCAGCTGAAATTAAGGCTTGTTCACATACATACCAAAGCACTCAAAACAAAGCCTTTGTGGTATAGCCTTTTGCTTGGCAAAAGTCACAAATGGCTCTTGGAAATGCCCCAAATTTTCACAGAATCACAGAATCATTCAGGTTGGAAAAGAGCTCCAAGACTATAGAGTCCAACCTGTGACTGACCCCACCTTGTCACCAGCCCCGAGCACTGAGTGCCACATCCAGTCACCCCCTGGACACCTCCACGGGTGAGGACTCCTCCACTGCCCTGGGAAGCCCCTTCCAATGGCTGACCAGCCTTTCCATGGAGAAATTCCTCCTCATGTCCAACCTGATCCTCCCCTGGCACAGCTTGAGGCCATTTCCTCTCATCCTGTCCCTGTTCCCTAGGAGTAGAGCCCAATCCCCCCTGGCTGTCCCCTCCTATCAGGGAGTTGTGCAGAGCCACAAGGTCCCCTCTGAGCCTCCTTTTCTCCAGGCTGAGCCCCTTTCCCAGCTCCCTCAGCTCATTAATTGTTTTTTTAAAGCCTTATACACACCACAGGGAACCAGGTACCCCCTCTGGATGGAAAAAGCTGGGATGGATGATGTAGAATTCTCACCAACATCTGCCCTACAACTCCTTCCTGAAGGAAAGGGGATCCACAGGGATTACAGTCAGAGATAATTCCCTGATTTTCCATTCATAAATGCACGGATGGGTAAGAGCATCCCTCTTACCTTCTGCCCACACATCCTGAATCCCGCCTGCCCAAATCAGAGCAGTCAGATTTCACAGCCACTTTCACTGCCACAACCTGATACCCGGGGAAGGCCAGCAGAGAGCTGGGAGATAAAACCCCACTTATCTCAACACTTTATAGTTATTGTGTGATGCTGCAGATAAGGGACGTGGTTCTCTTGAGGGCATCATTAAACTTGCTGGCTGAAGCAGGGTTTATTAGGGTTTGTGAGTAAGGTTTTCCAGGTCTGGCTCCTTATGCATCCATAACCTTTACTCCCATGAGCAGGAATGCAAAAATTGGTGTCATTAGTGATGCATTACGAGTGGTGATTTCCTCATCCATCTGCTTTCAAGAGAGCTATTCCAGTGGAACGAAAGTAAGGCTGCACTTGAGATTCCAGTGATATTTGTGTGGGCACTTATCAAAATTAGGGACTTTTCTTGTAGGGATATGTTATAGTGTTCCTGAAGGGTTATGAAGTAACTGAAACTATTTGACTTCTGGCAAAGAAGCCTGAAAAGGGATGTGGAACACGGGGAAAAACAGGATGTATCCACACATCTCCACGCAGGTTACATTTGAAAGGGGAGCTGCAGCAGAAGTTTAACAAGACAGAATTCCCAGGATAAAATGGGTTGAGCTATATTTATATTAAACCTGTTTTTATTAAGACCTAAACCAACAGAGAATCCCATGTCAACACAGGATCATTTAGGTTGGAAAAGAGCTCCAACACCATCAAGTCCATCCTGTGACCATCCTTGTCACCCAGCCCAAAGCACTGAGTGCCATGTACAGGCCTTCCTTGGACACCTCCAGGGATGGGGACTCCAAACCTCCCTGGGCAGCCCCTTCCAATGTTTAACAACTCTTTCCATGAAGAAATTCCTCCTGATGTCCAACTTGAACCTCCCCTGGTGCAACTTGAGGCTCTTTCCTCTCCTCCTGTCCCTGTTCCCTGGGAGCACAGCCTGACTCCCCCTGGCTCTCCCCTCCTGTCAGGGAGTTGTGGAGAGTGAAAAGGTCCCCCCTGAGCCTCCTTTTCTCCAGGCTGAGCCCCTTTCCAGCTCCCTCAGCCCCTCCTGGTGCTTCAGCCCTTTCCCCAGCTCTGTACCCTTCCTTGGACACGCTCCAGCCCCTTCAGGTCTCTCTTTTTGGGAGGGTCCCAGAGCTGTCCCCAGCACTGGAGGTGCCCCAGCAGTGCCAGCACAGAGGGACAATCACTCCCCTGGCCCTGCTGAAGCCCAGGCAAACAGGGTCATTTTCCTTCCCCCCACAGCAGGATTTTGACACCCTGGATTGCAAAAGGACAAACAGACTCCCAGGTTTTCAGCCAGAACCATTTCCCTCCCCACCCCGATGTGTAAAACACACTTGGGCTCAGAACACCCATAACCCCTGGCCAACCAGGAAAGGATTTTCTCATTGCCTTGGTGACTTCAAGTCCTGACAACTTAATTACTGTAATTGAAGGCAAATATTACTTGAACTCTACACGTCTTTCTTTTCATGAAGTACATTAGGCATAAAAACAAATGTTCCTTTGGTTAAGCAGAGGAGTTACAAAGGTATGTACGAGTTTAGAAAATAAGAACCTTGCTCAGAAACTCCTTTATTGATAAGAATTTTAATAACCATGGCCCACTGAGCACAGAACTAACAGGGCATAGAGACAAGCAAAGAGGTGCCAACCCTAGAAAACCTCTGAGTTTAGGAAAAGCTTATGTAAAACCATAAATCACCTGGAAGGCTGTTAAATGCCAAGGTATTCCTGCTTCCATAGTGTACCTGTCCCAGCAGCCATGGGAACACTGCTGAACTCTAAGCAGGGGTTTTCTCTAACCCCTCACAGTTTATGCAATTCCTCCCCTGCTTGACCCAACACAGAGACAAATTTCTAAGAAAAATAAGGCAGATATCCCTAAAAGTGGATTGTGCTGCTGAAACTTCTGAAAGACAAAACTTTCAACAGATAAAAGAAAGAAAAAAAAATATTCTTGCTCTAGAGAACTGATGATCAGGTAATGGGGAAAGAGCAATTGTGCTGGAACTGGAGGGAAACCTGAAGATTGGTCTTTGGAAATGATGTTTGCTCATGCCATGGGTTCCAAAATTACCCACAAAATCAAGCTGAGGAGATGAAGTTAGAAGGAATTGGGAATAGGGATTTAGTAGGATGGTCCCAAGCAAAACAAAAGGACTGCTTGAAACATGGTGTTAAATGTGGAATGAGTAAGAGGAAACAATAGGAAAATTCAAGGAGAGGTTGGGAAGTGCACAGGAAGAGATGAAGGTCAATTACAGGCAGAAGTTCCCTGTAAATATCATCTGTTTATGTAATTAGTGAAATGTATGGAAAATAATCTAAAGGACATAAAGCACTCCATGTACCACCGTGTTTTTCTCTGCCTTTCTTTGCTTGCTGATTAAATCATTAAGGGAGTACACTAAACTTACAGAGGGAAATCCTGGTTCCCTTGAATCCTGCAGGATCAGGATTGCATCTCTAGGGCATCCCACTCTCAGAGCACCTTTCAGTTATTTAGTGAAAGGAAAAAACAGGGGGTTATGGTTAATTATCAAAGGAATTCACATCAGTGAAAACAAGAAGAGAAGCCTAAAGGGAGAAGGATTTAGACACCTCATGAAATCAAATGGGTCTGAAACCCAACCTGGTCTAGTGGAAAGTGTTCATGGCAGAGGTAAGAATGGGATGAGCTTTAAGGTCCCTTCCAACCCAAACCATTCTGGGATTATTATAATTAATATTCAAAAATAAGGACTGCACCTGCACGTTACCCGGGAGGAAAAGTGAGACCATGTGCAAAGCAAAAGGTGCTGACAACATACAGGAGCAAGAGAAGCAGCCTGGATTAATTCAGAGAAATTCCTCTCCTCTTCAGAATGCAAGTATTTCCTTTTTAGCACTTAAAATCTTAAAACAGGGGAATAAAATAATCTCTTATACCACCTCTGTCTGCTGCATATGAACTACTATTACTTAAGCCCAGTAATTTCACGTGACTTTGCTTTGTTGGTACTAATTCACAATGACTTTGTGAAATCTGATTCACAAAAATGACACAAAAGGTAAAGTCCAGAAGGGATGAGCAAAAAGGCAGAAAAAAGCTAAGCTATTTCAGTAGGATCTCACTTAAATGACAAAAAGTGGGCTGGATGAAGCACATGGAGCCAGAGTTCCATGGAAAACACAGGATCGCTCTTAGCTTTAAAATGCAGCCACTGCTGTTCTGCCTTTCTTACCAACCTCCTTGCTGAGACACTGTAACAATAAGATTAAAATAATCCTGTTCTCTTCCTGCTGCTTCAGATCCTCACTGAGAGGATGGTAGGACCCCCATGCAGTGCACAAAACTTGAGAGACAAGAGCTGAGAGCACACCTGTATCTTTCCATCCCAGGAATGGCTGCAGATAA